CGGTCGTAAGCAAGCAAGCAAGCACGCCAGCACGTAAGCAAGCGAACTTAATATAAAGGATTTAATAAGCTCAGATTTGAAGCCTTCGTGACTGCAAGGATTCATACTGTTAGGTTTTTTCGGTAAAGTAATGGACATTATTTTATTATTATTTTATTTTATTTCCATTATTACTTTAATTAACTTTAAATTTTATTCTTTTACCTACGTGTTACCAAAAAAACCTAACGGTATAAAACAAGCTCAGTTCATACGTGCGCCGAGTACGCCCCAGGGTGGATTCATTCGGATGGCAACTTAATCCTAAGCAGGCACGGGCAGCAGAGATGTGCAAAGTCTACCTTTATATAGCCGCCCCACGGCCCCCCCCCCCGGCCCCCCCGGCCCCCCCGGCCCCCCCCCGGCCCCCCCCCCCCCGGCCCTCCCGGCCCACGGATTCCGGGAACAATCTAAGTTTAGCCAATCCCACTCGACGAATGATGACGAGCCCCCTCCGAAACCCAGCATCTGTGTTTATAATTGGCTTTCACCACGTCAATGTCAGTGGGAGGAATCCACCTAATCCTCTTTAATCCTTCGGATTTAGTGCATTTATTATGCAGGACCATAGCATTGTGAGAATTTGTATGAAGAATTATTTTGGATTATGACTATAACAAAAGCAATAATAGAAATGCCTTTTTTGAAATCAGCGATGAGCCTCAAAACACATATTCAGGAAGAGCCTGCACATTGCACGTGTTTAGCTTGTGAGAAGAAACGGGAGCAACCAGAGAAAACCCACGGATATGAGGGGATAACGCTTCGAGCTCCACACTGATATATTCCAATACTGTACTGTACTGTCATCTCCGAGCCACCCCACTGGGCCACGCCTCCGATAAGCACGGTTGGCTACGTACGGTGCGAAAGAAGTTCAACAGACGTACATACAACACTTGGTATTCCCAGGCGGTCAACCATTCAAGCACGAACCGGGCTCGACCCGTCTCAGCTTTGACAAGGTTGGCGCATTCTGGATGATTTCTGTTTTCGGTTCGAATTTTAAAAAAATCACAACCGGATCCATTCGACAGCTTCCGTCGTTTGGACCTCGGCATTGAGGATTTAGACTCGGGCCCCTCGAAATCCCCCCCACCGAGAGAGGCCATTAGGGTCGCTCAACGACAGCTGCCGCCGCCGCCGCCGCCACCACACTTCAACGCTGGATCCGCGCGGATCAGCGACGTCCACGGCAGCGCCGCTGCGATTGGCGGCGTAAACCCTCGCCCACGGGCATAGAAAGCTGTCGCCAGCCGGCCCGTTCGCCCCACTCGCCCACCTGCCTGCCCGCCCACTATCCCAGCCAGACACCTGGCTGACCTTGCCCCCCCGCCACCCCCACCCCCCCCCCCCAAGCTCCAACCCGTGTGGGTGCAAGGAAGATGCATTCACGATCGCTGGCAGGATCTCAATGCGGCTCACTAGCCCGGGCTCATCGATGCCAATTCAAGGGAACCTGACCCACTTTGTTAAGGCGCTCCTTCCAGCGGAGCGGGTTAGAAATGCAGAGGCATCCCGGGCACAGGAACGCGTCAGATCACGCGGCACTGCCGTGCGGCTACGCCCTGGGCAGCAGCGTACTTCCATGGTCCCACGACCAAGCTCGCGTTTCACATTCGCCAACCCGCGTTGACCAGTGTGAAGTACGTTCAAAGAAACCATCCCATGACACGCACGGGCATGGGGAAGCCGTCATCCAGCAGTGGATTTACAAAAGGGCGGTATGATAATTGGTTTTTTACCCTTCTATCTGGCAACAAAACTGACACCTTTTTTTTTTACGAGGGGTCATGTTTGCATAGACCACAATACCTGCAGCCATAATGCAAACAAAAAAACATAAATCTGATAATGTGCACTGTCCTTGAAGTTGATTGGTCCACACCCGAGACAGCTTTCCTTAGAGCCTAGTCTCACATGCTGTTGGACCAACAACATAGAAGTGTAAAAAAACAATTATCATATTTTTTCTGGCAAATGAGGTTCCAATGGTGTAAAAGGGTGGTAATTTTATTTTATTTTACCAGATAAGGCCCACTCAGCTATATAGCTTTTTTTCAGAAGTGACCTGGCCACAAATGATAGCTCGTCTAAGTGGCTTATCACGTGGAAGTTTCTAGCAGCCAAATACTCGAAATGCACGTTTATACATGTGGAGGGAAAAACCGGAGGACCCGGAGAAAAATCCACGCAAACACGGGGAGAGAGACACGCAAACTCCAAATATACTGTATAGCAGGCGTCAGGGTCGGGATCGAACCCACGACCTCCTGCATACCAGGCGAAGGAGTTAACATCTCGCTACCGCAGGTATAATTACGCTTGAAGTGACAAGGTGAGCGCGGAGCCGTTGTGAGGCTCAGGGAGATGTTTCCGTCCGATTTACGAGCGAGCACCGGCAGAACCGGTGCCTTTGGAAGGAGCTCACGGTCACATGGCTCCAGTTGGGCGCGCTTACAACGCGAGATGAATTATTCATCCTGTTTAAGCACTAACTCGAAGATTTCCTCTGCCGAGTGGAACAGCCGTATCTCGCTGGATTCTGGGGGGGGAGCCCTTCTCCTCCCCACCCCGTTCGTGTGCAAACATTACTTGTGAATATTTCCGTGGCTCGGTGGCGTATGTGGAGAGTGGGTCTTGCACACTGCTATGAACCCGATGGCCTGAGTGCGATTCCCGCTCGCCCCTTGGCTGACATTGGTGACATTCAGTGTCAGCCAAGGGGCGAGTGGGAATAGAGTGACAAGGCGTTTTTTCCGTTGCAGAACCGACGCTTTGGAAAGAACCTTGATTCCAACGTTTAACATCGTAAATCTGCCTTCAAAAAATTCCACGAAGCAGAAGATTGGTGGTGGATAAGGCTGCACTTGCAACTGTGATTTGTAACTTTCATCCTTACCCATTTTTCACTAATTCAATTATAATGTGCAATTTTGTTTTTGATGGACTGTGTGTTGTCTTGGTGTGGTCTGGGACTATTTTTGCTGTTGTTTCACCGCATTGCCCAAGCCTTGGAATCGGTTTACTTATGCAATTTGAACTTACAAACGTATCTATATTCAGTATATATTTCTACTAATTAGCTTTTACCTTTCCTATACTTTTGTACTCCTATCGTGTGTTTGTGTATTGTTTGTTGTTGTAACTTCCTGACCCGCTCCTACTGGACATCTGTGAAAAGAAGAGCTTCATAGCTCATCGGATTTCTCGAGGATAAATAAAGATTCTGATTCTGATCTGATCCGGAGTGTCGAGTTATATCTGTTGTCCAGAGTGGTGAAGTATGGCCCAACAACGGCGTAGGGTGGCCTCCATCTAAACAGTGGATTGACTAAGGTCTGTAAAATATGTTTTACTATTTTGAAGAATATTTAGACCAGATCAAAAAATAGCATTGTTCCCCACAACAATTTCCCCCAATTTTATCCCGATCGCCAGAGCAGCACGCAACCCTTCGTGTTACACAAGGCGTCCGCGGAAGTGGACACCACAGAACTCCCTCTGAGCGTACTTCAAGTGACCTCTGGTCCGGCCCAACAACCGTCGTCTTCGTCACACAAAGACACGGGTCACTTGAATGCCAGCCGGCGGCAACAGATAACGTCTTGAGCCTAAACGCCCGCGAGCGAACCCCACGACACCGCTGCAAACGATGTTCCCCAATCTGACGTTTCCTCCTCGCACTCATAGGCTGTGAGACACGGCCCGCAGGAGCGGTTACCCTGCCTCTCGCCGACAGCTACTCGAAGTGCACTGCGCGCAACGCCGCCCTTCGCAAAGGGCACTCGGATTATATCCCTGGAAGGGCGCCAACGCAGGGGTTGGCACCTATGAGCTACAAAAAAGAAACCGGGACATTGTTATTATCATTACTATTATTACATTTGTTTGACCGGGAAAGCCTCATCGAGTCCCACGACTCTCTTTGTAGGAGGGTCCTGCCGATGCGAAAAACAATATATCACGATACTGGAAGAGGGAAGAGCGGCACGTAAACTCGTTGTCCCGAGTGGGGTACTCAATTTGGGAACACTGTTCAAAAGAAATCATCTCAAGACAGCTGCATCAACAAGAGGATGATACTGCCCACCCATAGGGGCAGTGGGGGCGGCCTGGCCTGCACTCGACTGATTACACCCAGCGTGGGGAACCGTCTTCTTGCCGGGAGCCGAATAGAATTCACAAACATCTCAGGCAGAGGGCCACAAGTTAATAGACAGGCCGATCCTATAATAATGCAAACAATTATGACGGCTCATCTTTAGAGGTGAATGAGTGCGCTAAAATTGCCAACGCAGCGTTGTTGCCAGTTGCAATATAATTCCCCCTCTAGTAACCGATTAGTGCAGCTGAAATGCTTGCAGTGATGGGTAAATATAATTTGATGCCCATTTAAAAGTGGCGGGCCTCATGTGGACGCGGGCCGTGTGAAATAAAGTCGTGGGCCAAAGGTCAAAGGTTCTCCATCCCTGGATTAACCGAGGGCCTGCAGTCACGTCCTGGCAGCATAGCACAGTGATCAACAGCTGGCCCACAAAGATCTCTCCCCTCACCCAACGCTGCTTGCCGAATGGTTGCCTCGCCGATTAATTGGGATGCAGGGGTGAATTGTAAAATTGTCCAGTCATTACCATGAATACAATGTGAATTTAAATCCTGTCTCAGCGCGACGTGTCACTAGACATGAAACAAAAACTGTGTGCATATTTAATTTACAGAGACAAGAAGGCAGTCAGTCGTAGGCGGAGGTAAAAGGAAGGCCTTGAGCCTGAACTTGAACAGGGGGGAAGCAGGGATTTCCAGACTATGGAAGCAGAGACAAAATAAACGTGGACCAAAGCTAAGCAACAGTTGCGGCACAACCAGCGCAGGGGAAAGGAAAGAGCGTGGTTGGGGAGTTAGCGAGGCGACAAGATGGCTGAGGAAGAGGAAGCAAGCGCAGGTGAGCGGCGACGCACCTTGGAGATGAGCTCGTCGTGGTTGGCCAGGTGCGCGCGGCAGTGCACGCAGCTGTACTTGCGGTGGCAGTTGGGCAGGTACGCCTGGAAGGTCTTGGACTTTGTGAGCTTCACCATGCTGAGGGAGGGCGCCGCCTGCTGCTGCGCCTGCTGCTGCCGCCGCCCCTCGTCGCTGTCGCCGAGGGCCCCGTTTGCCGCCGGCGGGTGCGGCCGCGGGGACACGCACGCCGTGAAGCGGCGCAGGCACGGGCACGCCGCCGGGCAGGGCCACGCGGGCAGGGGCCAGCAGCCGCCAGCGGCGCCACCGCCGCCCTGGCCGCCGGGGCCACCGCCGCCCTGGCCGCCGCCTCCCTGGCCGCCCTGGCCGCCGGGGGGACAGCAGCGGCAGCGGCCGGGCAGGGGGAGGCAGCAGCAGCAGCAGAAGAAGCACGAGGAGGCGGCGGCGGCGGCGGCGACGGCGGCGGAGGAGGAAGGGGCGCAAGCGTCGCGGCCGCCGCAGCAGCAAAACGGGAAGGCGTCGTTGTGCCCCGGCTGCTGCTGCTGCTGTTGGGGCGGAGGAGGCAGCGGCGGCAGCGGCGGCGGTGGGCACGGGAAGGCCGGGCAGGGCAGGCACTGCAGCAGGGAGGCCCACGCCGTCTTTACGCCGGGGCGGGGCGGCCTCGGCGAGCCCCTCGCGCCGGCCCCCACAAAGCGGTGTCTGCACGCGGTGGGCGCAGCGGCGCGAGGGTTAAACGAGGCGCGACACGCACGGTCACCGGGGCTTCATTCCCGAGGAGCGAGCGGGCGGGCAGCGCAAGGTCACACGCAGCGACGGAGGAGGCACCTCCTGGGAGATGCGGAGTGCCAAATGATTTATGATGAATGCGGTGACACAGAAGCCACGTGATGAAGGTGGCATGGCTGCTCCAGGGTTAAGGGGCGACGGAGGCCACAAGGGTTTCCCGTCGCTTGCAAGGGCTTTGTGAAGTCCGAGGTCCGACGTAGCAAGAGGCGGCACCGTCACACCGGAGGAGGAGTGGGGAGGGGGATGAGGGGGGGAGAAGCCAGGTAATAGATGTAACCGGGTGGATCAGCGGGCAGAGCACTGAGTCAGTGTCCTCGAGATCCTGGGGGAGAATCTGGGGTCATGTAACCAGTGATTAGACCGACTTCTCGGGTGTAGCGAGTTAATGATAGCAGCCAGTCACCAATGGCTCACACGGAGAGAAACAATCTCACAGAGGCACGGAGCTGCTGCACGTAAACTGGGTTATTGGGTTGTGAGTAAACCAGACTCTCTCAAGCGGAGGGCGTGGATGGTTTCAGCCAAGTCACGCAGGCTGCACAAACAAACCATAATAATAATACAGTGATCCCTCGTTTATCACGGTTAATGGGGACCGGAACCCCTCGCGATAGGTGAAAATCCGCGAAGTAGGATTGGCCCCCTAGGAATTTCCGTATATGTGTGTGTGGGTATCAGAATGTTTAAAATATGTATATTTATACTTTATATATATATATTTTTTTACTTAAATCTATTTAATTATAAAACCGTAATGTTATACATTCACTCTCTCTCTCTCATACGATACGTATTATGGTGTTCTACACTCACCAATGACAGTAGTATCTTGAGACTTGACTCCAGTAATGACGACGACGACGATGACAATGACGATGACAATGACGACGATGACAGACCTGTGCAGTTCGATGAATGTGATGATAAATGATGATGATGATGGTGTTACTGCACAGGTATAATGAGGCCTTTAAATCAGTTCGAAAAATACGCGATGCACTGAGGCCGCGAAACTTGAACCGCGAAGTGGCGAGGGATTACTGTATATTTGGATTTCCACCAAATCTATCCCAGCTTTGAGACTTAAAACAATCAGTTTGATTGACAACCACCAAACTCTCCTTGGAAGCCACGTAAAAAGTGAGCCCCGAGTGGAGATGACAAAGGGCTATTTTGAAGTTTCACTTCAGAAGTTGTTCTGTTACATCGTCCGAATGGGAACACGAAGGTAAACGTGTGATAACGTGCACCGTCAAGGCGAGCTGCATGGCGTAGAAATAAAGTGGATTTCTTTTTTTGTTGTCGCCGGGAAGAAATATGTTGTGACACTCCAGTCGAAAGAAACGCGATCATTGCATAATTACATCAGAATAGGCCAGACCACTCCATGGGGCCCATCAGCCCAGGAGAGGATAGCAGTAACATTGTAGAGATCTCTAACACGATATAACACGGTGAACTGATGGTTATTTAAATGACGAAAATGCAAGGCTCTGTCACACTACGTACTAATATTATCAAAGTGTTATTTTGGTCCATCAGCCTATCGGCCTCCTGCGCCCGTGTCGCCCGGCAGCAACTGTTTGCCACGTGGGCTGCTGCCACGCTCGCCATTGTGGGTCACGCGGCGGATAAACCCCTCGTGTCATCGCTTCTCTTCTTCCTGCCCCGCCGGAGACCAAAGGCCGATGTCCAGCGCAACGACGCAACGGGCAAGGTCACCCCGTTAGGTTGCACGCAACACGCACGGAGCGCTGAAACGTTGATCTTGCGCCAGTGATTCTAAGCGTGCATCGTGAGTTTAAGAATCAATGCTAAATCGGCCGCATCGTTGGGACCCATGCCACCGATACGACGGGATTCGCCATCACCATCGTCGGCCGTGCTCTGTCCATGGTGCCTGCGGGTCGGGACTAACGACCGAGTTGGCAGCCAAAGGAGGGAATCCGACCGATAGGGGTGACGTCCGCCACGGAGATGGAACGACGAAATCAGCTCATTACCAACGGAAGCTATCAAATGAATAAAAGTTATGACTGTGAAATCGCACGTCTGCACTCGCAGGGGAGTAGTGATGAGAGGGGAGAGGTAGGTGTGTGGAGGGGAGTGGAGTGAGATGAGAGGGGAGAGGTAGGTGAGTGTGTGGAGGGGAGTACGAGATGAGAGGGGAGAGGTAGGTGAGTGTGTGGAGGGGAGTAGAGTGAAATGAGAGGGGAGAGGTAGGTGAGAGTGTGGAGAGGAGGGGAGTGAGATGAGAGGGGAGAGGTAAGTGAGAGTGTGGAGGGGAGTGAGATGAGAGGGGAGATGTAGGTGAGTGTGTGGAGGGCAGTGGCGTGAGATGAGAGGGGAGAGGTAGGTGAGTGTGTGGAGGGAAGTGGAGTGAGATGAGAGGGGAGAGGTAGGTGAGTGTGTGGAGGGGAGTAAAATGAGATGAGAGGGGAGAGGTAGGTGAGTGCGTGGAGGGGAGTGGAGTGAGATGAGAGGGGAGAGGTAGGTGAGCGTGTGGAGGGGAGTGGAGTGAGATGAGAGGGGAAAGGTAGGTGAGTGCGTGGAGGGGAGTGGAGTGAGATGTGGAGGGGAGAGGTAGGTGAGAGTGTGGAGGGGAGTGGAGTGAGATGAGAGGGGAGAGGTAGGTGACTGTGTGGAGGGGAGTGGAGTGAGATGAGAGGGGAGAGGTAGGTGAGTGTGTGTGGAGGGGAGTAGAGTGAGATGAGAGGTGAGAGGTGGGAGAGTGCGTGGAGGGGAGTGGAGTGAGATGAGTGGGGAGAGGTGGGAGAGTGCGTAGAGGGGAGTAGAGTGAGATGAGAGGTGAGAGGTGGGAGAGTGCGTGGAGGGGAGTGGAGTGAGATGAGTGGGGAGAGGCAGGAGAGTGAATGGAGGGGAGTAGAGTGAGATGAGAGGGGAGAGGTAGGAGAGTGTGTGGAGGGGAGTAGAGTGAGATGAGAGGGGAGAAGTAGGTGTGTGGAGGGGAGTAGAGTGAGATGAGAGGGGAGAGGTAGGTGAGTGTGTGGAGGGGAGTGGAGTGAGATGAGAGGGGAGAGGTAGGTGAGTGAGTGGAGGGGAGTAGAGTGAAATGAGAGGGGAGAGGTAGGTGAGTGTGTGGAGGGGAGTAGAGTGAGATGAGAGGGGAAAGGTAGGTGAGTGTGTGGAGGGGAGTGGAGTGAGATGAGAGGGGAGAGGTAGGTGAGTGTGTGGAGGGGAGTAGAGTGAAATGAGAGGGGAGAGGTAGGTGAGAGTGTGGAGAGGAGGGGAGTGAGATGAGAGGGGAGAGGTAAGTGAGAGTGGGGAGGGGAGTGAGATGAGAGGGGAGATGTAGGTGAGTGTGTGGAGGGCAGTGGCGTGAGATGAGAGGGGAGAGGTAGGTGAGTGTGTGGAGGGAAGTGGAGTGAGATGAGAGGGGAGAGGTAGGTGAGTGTGTGGAGGGGAGTAGAATGAGATGAGAGGGGAGAGGTAGGTGAGTGCGTGGAGGGGAGTGGAGTGAGATGAGAGGGGAGAGGTAGGTGAGAGTGTGGAGGGGAGTGGAGTGAGATGAGAGGGGAGAGGCAGGAGAGTGCGTGGAGGGGAGTGGAGTGAGATGAGAGGGGAGAGGTAGGTGAGTGTGTGGAGGGGAGTGGAGTGAGATGAGAGGGGAGAGGTAGGTGAGTGTGTGGAGGGGAGTAGAGTAGAGTGAAATGAGAGGGGAGAGGTAGGAGAGTGCGTGGAGTAGAGTGGAGTGAGATGAGAGGAGAGAGGCCGGCATTTCACGACGCTCCTCGCGGCCACACGGCACACGCCACGTGGCAGGCGGCACGGGAATCAAGGAGCCGGTCGATACGCGGCGCTAATTCCGCTAATTGATTCCACGACTGCAGCTCCCCGTGCACTCCGCGAGCACACCCAGGCAGGGTCACGCGTGCACATACGTGTGTGCGTGCGTGCGTGCGCGCGCGTGTGTGTGTGTGCGTGCGTGTGTGTGTGTGCGTGTGTGTGTGTGCATGTGTGCGCGTGTCGACTGGTCACCCCGGTCAGTTACTGCCGATCAATCAAGCCTCTCAACTCGTCCCCTACAGCACCCGGATTAATCCCAGTGACCTGTCGCCGCCACTCCACTCGGACTCAAAGTGCACCCAGCCCCGGACGATCGCCAGGGGAATGTCATCGTCGCCAGCGAGAGGCGGGCGTGTGTGTGCGTGCATGTGTCAAGAACATGCGTGCGTGGGAGTATACGCGTGTGTGCGCGCGTGTGAGAGTTCACACGCTGCACTAAGAAGCCCCGCAGGGGTGGTGGTTGCGGTGGTGGCACTGATGACACACGTGGGGAGCAGTGGCGCAGCGGTCAGCGCACTGCACTACCAACCCGGCAAACTGAGTTCGATTCCAGCCACGGCTAGCATTGGTGGTGATATCTGAACTGGTACTAGGCCTCCCCGAGGTCGACTCGAACCTTACATTTTCATCTGGTTCAGCGTGTAAACCTCAGCACCGGCGAGACAAAAGCGTTTTGGCTTGGTGTTGGCCGCATCACCCTTCCGGCCTTAACAGGTGCTCGCTAACAGCAATTAAATTCTGTTAAAGAACCTCATTGGCACACTGTAGTCTCGACGCCACAAGGTGATTCCCAGCGGCGGAGAGAAATTAGCAACGAACAAACCGAGTCATCCCTCTGTCAATCCCCCGCTGAAGGCGTCCCCACGTTGCATTGGGGCTGTTCGACGACACTCCACCAAGCCGCTCAGTGCGGATTTGGTGAAGGGGGATGCCCCGGGCATCACTCGCCGCCGCCGCCGTCAGCCGTGCCCCGGGTGACCAGGTTGAGAGCGCGGTGCACCAACCCCCCGCGCCATCGCTCCGTAAGGGGCCAAGTGGCGACGTGGGGAACAATTCGCGGGCCGCGCGGTAGCACCAACTGGATTCTCTCTCACCAGCGGGA